ATTTTAATGTCTGTCCTTTTTACTATCACTTTCTGTCCTCTTCCTGGTTCTTTCCCCCTGTACTGTTTGTCTTCTACGTCACATACTATTCTTGATTGAGGTGTTCAGAAAATTTGGTTAGACTCGTATCCTACTCACTGCCCTATGTTTTGTTCACAAGGTTTCTTTCCTGGTTGACTAACTTAACATAATGAAACTACCTCATGTGCTGCTTCAAAGCCTAATGTCTACAAGCAGAGTTAAATGCTTCTCAGAGTTAAATATTTCCCTTTACAAACTTTCCCATGGTAACTGTTCCATTGTCTACCTATGTCTCTTTTATTTTTTATACTCCTGAGGCACCATGGGGAGCCAAACCGCCTGATTCTTTGCCAAAGACTTAATATTTCCCTTTTTACATGTTTTCTATTAATGTGAACCATTCTATGTAAGCCCCTGTCCAAGGTAAAGGGGTGTCAGTTGGGGGAGGCAGTCTGTACCATCCTCTATATCGGGGAGGCCAAAAGAGCCCCCCACTAGCTAATCTGAATGGAATCCAGGGTTTTTTGGTAGATTTCATTTTCTCCTCTGACCTTCACTTTGAGGTTTCTTCCTCACTCAATTCCCACATATCCTTCTCAGAATTCCCAAAGATGTCTCGCTGTCTAAGCCTCTCCAATGCCTCAGTTAAGCAAAGCCCTGTCATATTGAAGCAAGTTTTAGATCTGGTTTTATTCGTACTTCTCAAGACTGCCCTCACATCCGCTCCAGGTGTGGTAAGCATGACGATGCACAAAATTCTCAAGAATGGATTTAACAACAGCAAATATTTGAGGGATGTTGGAAACCCTCGCTGGGAAGCTCCGCTCTGCAGAAGCTTCTTCCACCAGGCTGTAGCTTTGCTAGACAGCATGGCTAGGATGGCTCCCAACAAGTTATCGTTGGTTAATCCTATCTAAGTTGACTAAATAGATAAATGTAAGCTTAAACTAAGGGGACAAAAAGGCCCCTTAAGCCTCTCTGGCAGAAACCACGCCCTTGATCAGAGTGGCTGATGAAAGTCAAGGTGGCTGATAGAGGGCCCTGCCCTCACTTAAGTCAGTCAAAATCTTGAGGCCATATTTTGTGTCAATAAAAGTGTTTAAGTAAAAGTTAAAATAAAATAAATGAAAATTAAATTTGTTTTTAAAAATCGAGTTTAAAATCTGGCTCTGCTACAGCTATACTGTTTTCTTTTAACTATTGTTATTAATACTGTAATTGATAAAAATGATAATTGAACAGTAAAAGAATAGGTGGTTTGTAAGCCTATTTGCTTTCAGCCATCAGTTTGAATCTTTAAGATGGGTGGAGGCCACCATGTAAAGAAGGCTCTGACTAGGTCAGCCCCACCCAGTGCTTGGAGTGCTCTGGACATTTGCAGACACTGGTGAAGATTGCTGCTGGCAGAAGAAAAAGGGACCCTTTTGGTTTTCTTTTAAACTTTAAACGTGGTTTGTGCCTAAGGCTGAAAAAAAATTTTTTTAAGCCATGAAGAAACTCAACTGTCTAGGACGGAATGTTAAAAGAAGCCAGTAAGCAGCCTGATATGCTTGCTAGTTGAGTTGACCAGTTAGGTCCACTTGTGTGGAAATGAAATAAATTCAGCAATCAGTCTGGTCACTAACACCCGAGAACCTGGTTCATAGGAACTAAAGAAGAAGATAAGAGCGGTTGGCTAAAGCTCCTGGCCTAGCCCAAGAGGGCTACAGTTGTTAAAAAAAAATTGTGACTGGGCCCAGGGTCAAGACGGCCAGCTCACGTTGAAATCACCAGAACCTGACCAGATGAAAAGAAGATTTTTGAGCCTGTGAACTGGTGCACATTGCTGCTGACTTTATGGACGACCTGTCCGACTTTGACTTTGCTTATGGATGCAGACCCACAAGTTCCGATCGGAACGAAGATTCTTCACATCAAAGAACTTGCTTGTCTCCTCAGAGCACTAGGTTAATATAAGTAAGCAGTATAGAAATTGGATGCCCAAAATTGGGTGGAATGAAGACACAAGGTAACTGGCTTACAAACTTTCATAGATAAAAATATAAACTATCTTTGTTTTGTTCCTTTATAAAATATTATGTTTAAATAAGGCTGGTACATTTCAAACTATGTATTTTAGTTTTATTTTGTTAGAACTCTTGTCTTTGTTTTGAAAATTGTATGTAGCTAAAAAGTTGTTTAAGGGTTTCACGTTAGTCCCACACCGACCCTTCCACTGTTCCAAGGCCGCCCGCAGGCACACAGATTCATCGTTATAATTGGCTGAAGTCCTTCAAGCCTGACAGCATCTCCAGCACCAACTCCACAACTTCTTGAGGAAGGCAGGACCCCAGCTGAGAGCGAGCAGCCTCCCTGTGCACCCATTCCAGCCCGGTGCCGGTGTCCTTAGAAAGCGGTTCATGCCCACGGGACTCACACCACGCTGATACGGCCTTTACCATCATGCTCACAATTCCAACACGGTCAAAGTGGATGGACTTGTTGCCTGAGCTCACTACTAGCATCACAAAGGCTGCAGCCCTATGCAGAATGAAAGGCTCATTCTTCTGTAAAAGACTCCTTAAACTGAGACCATCTCGGGTTTCTTGATACTGATATCTCAGTCTAGGTTTTCTGTAAATTGTAATCGAACTCTTAAAATGTGTTACAATAGATCATAAATGTATTTTAAGGCTTTCCCAGAAACTGTTTTCTTGCTCTTTTTGCCTCACCACCTGCTTGTCTGCTCGTCTGTTTAACAAGTAGGTGACTTTCAGCCACAGCTCGCTGCACTCATCCCCCAGAGTAAATGTTAGCGGATTAAAAGCCATCATTTTTAAAAGGTCAGAACAAATTCATTAGGAGAGTTTATCCAAAACCGTATAGAACCTGCTAAGCTTATGATATTGAAAACCCAGTCTACCAACCTAAGTGCAGAAGTTACTGATGAATCAACAATTTGATTCCCAAATAAAAAGAGTAGGGAACGAGGCAGCTTAGCAAGAGAAACTCCATTTTTGTAAGCTGCTAAGTCACTTGCCTGTTCCTCCCTCACATCTCAGAAAGTTGACTGCTGGTTGACCTGCCCACTCTCCCTCGCCTTCTGGGAAAGTCTCTGCTGTGATTAATTTTATAATGTACTCCAATGTTCCCAGGTTCAGGACACTACAATTAGTTTTGACTATTCTTCAATATATCATTTGTTCTGATTCAATTTTGTCCCCTCTGATGTTGTAATCTGAATGGTGTAGCTAATCTTGTATGGTAACCAGGCTGTTATAGTCCATTTTGGTTTTGTTTCTTTTATGATAAGGAAGGTACCTTGTAATGCAGGCTTGCTCTTCTTGAAGTTAACAGAATGTTATAGTCAGTGCTGTACCCTGTCATGCTCCCTAACCTTAAAGAATAGTAACATTAGTTTGGCTTTCTGCTTCTGTCTATGCTTGCTTAAGTCTCAGACAAAGGATAAATGAGTTTTTGCCTTTAAAAGATGGACTGAAATGTGGACTCATGACTACAATCAAAGAGTCGCTTTTAGATTCTAGCAGTCTGGTTATAACCCAACCAAGACTCTTCTAAATTATCAAGACATTATAGTGGCTGTCATTTATTCAAATCCGCAGCATGACCAAGGCAGCCAGGACATGACTATGACAGTGCAACCTCAGTACTGTGATCTCCATCAAGGACACACCAGGCAAGCCCCCGAGGAAACTACCCCTCCCTGAGTTGACTGGGGGGAGGGAGTGAAGGTAATACATTTCCCAATGCACCCTGCCTGACTGCAAGACTGTTCATGCCCCTAGTCAGAAATAATTCAGTGGAGGCTCTGTAAATGGATTTTGGGCTTTCACTGTTATCCATAGCCTTCTGCAAACTGGGTGCTCAGCATTTAAGCTCTAATGCATGGCAAAGAATATTGAAAGTACTATGAACTGTCAGAAGAACAAACACATCTGTCTTGGAAGAAGTACAGCCAGAGCTCCTTAGAAGTAAGGCTGGTGACACTACGTATTACATCTTTTGGACACATTATCAGGAGAGGCCAGTCCCTGGAAGATGACATCATGCTTGATAAAGTAGAGGGTCAGTAGAAAAGAGGAAGGCCCTCAACAAGATGGACCCACCCATTGGCTACAACGATGGCCTGTAGCATAACAATTGTGAGGCTGGCGCAGGACGAGGCAGGGCTTGATGCTGTTGTGCATGTGGTTGCTAAGTCGGATGGAACCTAATCAATGACATCCAACAGCAGTCAGCCCAGGGAGGGGCAGTGCTGCCCTCAGGTCTTGCCGGGGCATGCCCTCAATGGAAATCGGTGTTCCAGGGCCACAAGATCTTGAGTCCCATGGGTCATAGCTTGACCAAGGTGGTGAGAGAGAGGGCGACAGAACCACCCTGTAATTTGCAAGAGTGTGCATCTTCCAATCATGTCCCTTTTCCACGTCTGTAGTCCTCCCTGTGCCCATGATGAATTGATCCACTGTCAAACGTGCTTTTGTGAAATTTCCTTTGTTTTCTATGTCCTATAATTAGCGATGTGGTTTTGATCCCTTGGCCACCATTATGGCTTCAGGCTGATGGTCTCCCTCATCTGCATCATTTGTCTTTGTCTTGCCTTTTTTCTACTTAATATTTACTAAAGGGGTCTCTATAAAATACATTTGACTTTGAGGTCTTCTCCCTAGAATGAAGTCAACCATAAAATCTTTGTTGAGAATAAGCTTTATTTTTTAAATGTGGCAAAAATCATACGTGATTTCAATTGGAAATAGAAAAATACACATAGATCAATCTGTAATGATGTCTAGTTTAAAAACCCACCAACTGATTAGAAATTAGCATTATATCTAAAAGCACCAAAATAGTGAAACCCAACCCACGGAATCAATTCTGAATCACAGTGATCCTGGATAGGACGGAATAGTACTGCTCTGCTTTCCAAAGCTGTAAATCTTTATGGGAACAGACAGCCTCATTTGTCTCCTGTGGAGCCGCTGATGGGTTTGAGCTACCGATATTGTGGTTAGCAGCCCAATGACTAATCCACAGGGCTAGCTACCAGGGCTCCTTAGCAAGAAATGGTAAAGGCTCCACTATTTGTTGATTGCCCTGATCCAGGCCATCTATAGGACTGGTCTGATTGAATTGGAACTGGCTTCAATGGCCATGGTATACCTTGCACTTTACGAAATCCAGTCATTTTTGCCAACGAATTTGTAGATTTTAACAAATGTCCATCAACTTTTTAGTGTATAGGATTTCTAGCCTAAGTGGCATTGAAAAGAAGAGATTGTCATGAAATAAATTTCCAGTAGAGGGAAGCAAATTGATTTCCAATGCAGCTGATTGATAGATAAAAGTTCTTCTCTTATCTAGGAATGAGGCATAACTTGAAAGGTGGTGGGGAATTGATAATCCCACTAGTGATAGGTTTGATGGGTAGATCCTTTGGCTCGATGAGGGGCTTCAAGGAAAAGTTCTGCAGGATGGTGGTGAGGAAGAGGAACAGCTCCATGCGTGCCAGGCTCTCTCCCACACAAGCTCGTTTTCCTGGAAAGAGGAAACACCTCATCAGCTCACATTGAGATACTAACCAGAACTCAAAATCTGCTAGAGGACAGTTCATTGGCAAAGTTATTCCTGAGAGATACTTGGCATCACGATTGAAACCCCCTAAAGAAGCTTACACTACTTCATTCGGTGATTCTCCTTCTGAGAACTTCTTTGCAGGAAACGGAGATTCGTGTGAGGATGTCACTTGTATCCAGTGTGTATGATAGTAATGAATTAGGTGAAGCCTACACGTCCATGGATGGATTAAAAAATAATTACGCATTCAGCATACAATGCAACCCAAAAATGTTTATCTGAAAGAATATTTAGTACAATAGTTGTTCAGTCACGATGTATTAAGTAAAAGCACTTTATCAAATAGATTAGAACTGACTACATTTTATTTTAAAATATACATCTGCTATATACATGAATAATTACTTGAAGTATATACAGTAAAATAAAGTTATCTCCATACGGTAAGAGGGCAGAACTTTTCCCTCTTTTTCTTCTCCATCTTCCATTATTTTATGTTGAATGGTTATTATTTCTGTAGCTCAAAACAAGAGGGTTAACTACTAGTTTTGGGGGGGAAATCAATGAGGAGCATAGAATAACAAGGGGAAAGATTGTGTGCCACCAATCATAAACTGGTTGACATGGCGATAGTGACAGGGAGCTACTCAGCTCTGGTCCAGACACAGGGGTATGTGGGGCTCTGAAGTTTAGAGAGAAAGAAGGAAGATGAGGTGACCAAGGTCCCCTCCATGGCCTCGAGTTCTAAGAAACAGAAAACTTATCACAGTTAACCACTCTATTTTGTGTAAGAAAGACGATTTTGCAAAGAAAAGATCAATAAAGTTTGCAGTGACAGGTCCCTTTGTCATCTGGTAATACATACCCTCTGCATTGGATTGACTTGTTATTTGTTAAACTGTCATTATGTTCAATTGTCAAACCACAGAATAGTCCCTGGGTAATTCAGCTGATCCCATCGGGTAGAGGAGCATAGTGCTTATGAGGTCAGCAGTCATACCGTGGGGAAAGGCTGAGGTTTTCTACTCCTGTGAAGAGTTTCAATGTCAGAAACCCACAGGGACAGTTCTAGTTTGTCCAATAGAGTCGCCGAGAGTCAGCATTGACTCCATGGCAGTGAGATTGGTTTTATTGGTGAGAGACTTAAATGGCTCTATCTAAATTTGGATGATAAGAGTTTGAAATGATTGACCTTGCCATCATCAAATGAGATGTAATGAATCCAGTGATCTGGAAATGGTGCAGAGGGTCCGTGTGTGGTGTGGGGGGTTATTTGTACTTACCAAGGGAAAAAGGCACAAAGTAGTCTGATTTCATGAAGTTGCCGTTTTTATCCAAAAAATGGTCTGGGTCAAACTTCTCTGGATTGGGAAACCCCTTGTCATCGAACAAGACTGAAGACAGTAACGGAAATATAATCGTGCCCTAGAAACAAGAAATGCAGAATGGACAGGTATTTGATTATGCTGATCCTGCAGAATGGACAGGTATTTGATTATGCTGATCCTTGATTCAGAGACAAGTTTAAGTCTTAATCATAGTTGCTGTAGGAGGGCTGAGTTCTTTCAAACTTTTCAGGTGAGTCATTGTCTTGAGTTACAGCTCATATACATTTTATACATGATCTCAGCTAACAATAAAGCAATTCTGTTACAAAGGAAAAATTAGTAAAGCCTTTTAGAACAAATTGGTGTGATTGAATTTAACTCAGTCTTGGCTGGATCTCTAAGATGCCATGGTGCCCCTGTTGGGCAAGGGGTGGACTGTCAACCTAAAGGCCACAGTTTGAACCCACCAGGCACTCTGCCAGAGAAAGACTATCTGTTCCCAGAAAGACCCATAGTCTCTCAAATGCTATATAGTTAGGATTGACTCTACTGAAGTGGCAGGAGTGAGGCTTATCCAACTGCCTACCTGGGACTGAGTATGTGTTCTGACAAGCTCCTGCGAGTCCATTACCTGTGAAGTGCCATAAACCTGAGAAGGTGGTTTCTCCTCTGGTTAAGCTAAGGCCTTATGGAAATACACTCTGAGGGAGGACATTTTGGCATAGCTGTCTTTTGTACAAAGTTGATGAGAGGAATTTTTTTTTAATTTGTCGCTCGTTTTTTTTAGGGGCTCATACAACTCTTATCACAATCCATACATACATCAGTTGTGTAAAGCACATTTGTACATTCATTGTCCTCATCATTCTCAAAACATTTGCTGTCCACCTAAGCCCCTGGCATCAGGTCCTCATTTTCTCCCCTCCCTCCCCACTCCCAGCTCCCTCATGAGCCCTTGATAATTTATAAATTATTTTGTCATCTCTTGCCTTGTCCAACGTCTCCCTTCACCCACCCTTCTGTCGTCAGTCCCCAAGGGAGGAGGTCACATGTTGATCCTTGTCATCAGTTCCCTCTTTCCATCCCTCCCTGCCTCTAGCCTCCCAGTATCGCCACTCACATCACTGGTCCTGAAGGGTCATCTGCCCTGGATTCCCTGTGTTTCCAGTTCCTATCTGTACCAGTGTACAGGTCCAGCCAGACTTGGAATGCAGAATTGGGATCATGATATTAGGGGGCGAAGGAACCATTTAGGAACTACAGGAAAGTTGTAATTTTTTCATCATTTCTACATCGCACCCTGAATGGCTAGTCTCCTCCCCAAGACCCCTCTGTAAGGGGATGTCCAGTGGCCTGCAAATGGGCTTTGGGTCTCCACTCCGCACTCCCCCCATCATTCACTATGGTACGATTTTTTGTTCTGATGATGCCTTATACCTGATCCCTTCAAAACTTCGTGATCGCACAGGCTGGTGTGCTTCGGTTGGTGTGCTTCTTCCATGGAAAAGAATATTTCTTCATGACAAAACTGTAATAAAAGTAAGGGTCTCAAGGCTAACGTGATCTGAAATTTCCAAGACTACTTAAACATTTTGATTAATGAGGAATCCTCACATGCTCTTGAGATGTCTGATTATAGCTGTGTCAACCCTAACCCTAGCTCTAGCCCTAACATTAACTATAACTCTAACCCTGAACTTTTTTTTTAACCCTTAACCTTTAATACTTAACCCAGGTATTATTACTTAAGCCCTAACCTGGCCTTAAACCTAAACCAAGCCCTAACCTTAATCCTAGCCTTAGCCCTAGCCCTAACCCTAACCCTAACCCTAACCCTAGCCCTAGAATAAATAACAACAAAAATAAAGTTGTATCAACTTCAACCAGGGATGTTTTATGAGCCCAATGAAAACTATAGCATATGATGAAGAATCCTTGTACTTCATTCCTAAAATCAATTACTGTTTGATGTTGCCCCTTTGTACCCATCGCCCAGTAGAAGCCGATTCTGCACTCCTAACCCGTCCACAAGTGACATCAAGGAAACTGAAGACTCTCTTTGTTTTGTGAATGGTGTTGATCTGTGTGAGAAATTGTTCGTGGGTGGCCTCAGTTCTCGATTGTGTAGACCGATGCCCACCAAGTCGGGTGTGGTCCCTCTGAACACCTTCCCACAGGCTGAGTGGACTCTTCTCTCCGGCCGTGTACCGCGGGATGCTGTCTGTGGTCATGGGCAATAGTCAACTGCTGGTGAGAAACTGGAGTTTGCAACTCGCATGGTCTACATGTGGGCTTTTTTGAAAAAAATTTATTGGGGATTTTTGTTTGTTCTTTTTTCAATGGTATTTTATTATTTATTTTAAAAATATTTTTATTAGGGGTTCATACGACTCATCACTATCCATACATACCTCAATTGTGTAAAGCACATTTGTACATTCATTGCCCCATGTGGGCCTTCTTGTCATTGCTGCCTCCCTTCCAAAGAGCTCGATTTTATTGTTGCTTTAAACCCTAACAGCTTACTTTCGGAGGAATTTTCTTTTCCGCCTGGAGTCGGGAGGGAAAGAGAGACTAGGGGTCTTGACTCTGTTGAAATCTGCTGAGTCACCTCCTTCTTCACGTGCCCGAAGCGGAAGCGTCACAACCACCGCAGGCAGTGTCCCCTTGCTTCAGAAGACTAAGGTGACGCTTCTC